TGAAATTATTGCCACAAAGTTTGCGAAAATACAAATGCCGCCACATTACTCCCCTCCTAGACGAAACTACCGATATCGTAGGGGAAAGTTAACATGCCTTCCAGAACGCGTAGATTTCGTCGATATAGGAGGTGGTGTATTCATTGGCTCGTCTTCCTGAGGAATGTGGCTCGTTGTCGGAATAGGTGCTGGTGTATCCGTTGGCTCTACTGATTGGGGAACATGGCTCGAATCTTCGTAGTCGTCGCTGGCTAAGAACGCAGGCTTTAGCCGATCGATGCTTATGTTGCTGCATCGCCCTCGTATCAAAAGTTTAAAAAACTTAGGCGATCTCTTAACAACGGGGTAAGGCCCGTCGTAAGGATGTGTCAGTGAAGGACGAATTGAGTCGTTTCGCACGAAGACATGAGATGCAGAATGCAATGCTGGTGACACGAAAACTTTAGGCGTCGTATGATGTGCGGATTTTGTAGGGCGAAGTTTCTGCATAAGCGACCGGAACTGAGATACCATCTCCTGTGTTACTGCTCTCGCCTTTGTTGACTGAAAAAATTCGCCTGGGAGTCGTAGCGTTGAACCATAAACGAGCGTAGCAGGGCTGGCGTGAATGTCGGGTTTGTAAGCTGCACGAAGACCGAGGAGGATCGTTGGCAAATGATGTACCCACTTGTTCGGGTCGTGGCACATGATAGCAGCTTTAAAACTTCGGTGCCACCTTTCTAAAATGCCGTTTGCCTGTGGGTGGTAAGGGGTTGTTCGGAGGTGAACAGTGCCAATCGTGTTCAACAACTCGGCGAATAGGGCGGAGTCGAATTGTCGGCCCTGGTCTGACGTAATTCGTGTTGGAACGCCAAATCGCGAAATCCAATGAGATAAAAGCGCTTTGGCAACGGATTCGGCGGACATATCAGGCATCGGCGCTGCCTCTGGCTAGCGGGTGAACCGGTCGATCATTGTTAGGCAATAGCGCTGTCCTTCGCACAGCGGGAACGGGCCAACAATATCGATATGAATGTGCGCAAAACGTTGGGTTGGCGGTTCGTAGGTCGCTGGTGCAGATGCAGTGTGTCGGTGGACTTTTGACCGTTGGCATACCTGACAGTTCCGCACGAATTTTGCTGTCTCCCTCTTCACTCCGGGCCAAACAAACCTTTGCGTCATGAAGTTGACTGTTGCACGAACGCCTGGATGCGACAAACCGTGAATCTTTGCTAGCAGTAATCTGCGAAACTCATGGGGTATGTACGGCCGAATGTTCGAGGTTGAAGTATCGCATACTAGTTTCGCCATACTGTTGGGGATATCAAAATACTTTAGTAAAAGTGAATTACTTCGCGTACCTGATTCGCTTAGGAGTGCTTGTAGATGAGTGTCAGCTTGCTGAGCGGCCGCGACCTTAACGTAGCCAATAATTTGTTCGATTGCTTGCATTCGAGAGAGCAGGTCTGCTGTGGAATTTTCTGCACCGGGTACGTGTCGAATATCGGTCGTGAATTGACCGATGAAATCCAACTGCCTTACACGACGAGGTGAAGCTTTTTCTAGCTTTTGGCGAAAGGCGTATACTAGCGGGCGATGGTCGGTGACAACATGGCATTTTCGGCCCTCGATCATGTACCGAAAGTGACATACGCCTTGGTATGCCGCGGTCAGCTCACGGTCGTACGTACTATATTTACGTTGCGCGCTGGTCAGCTTCTTCGAATAAAAGCCGAGTGGCTGAAGTTCTCCACCTTGGAGTAGGTGCAATGCGGCTCCGACAGCGGTGCCCGAAGCGTCGACGTATAAGGCTAACTCAGCGCCGGGTGACGGATGCACGAGTAATGTTGCTTTCGCCAGTTCTGATTTGCAACGGTCGAAGGCGTCTTCGGCTTCACTGTTCCACACGACAATTGTACGGTCGTTCTTCTTATTGCCCGTAATTAGCTGTTGAAGGTTGACTGGTACTCGATAGCGTTCGGTAGGAATTTTCGGTAGAAGTTTACCATGGCGATGAAGCTCTTCCGTTCTTTTGCTACTGTGGGCTTCGGAAAATCGCGAATCGCTGCTATCCTCTCAGGTAGAGGACGTATGCCTCTAGCGTCGACCAGGTGCCCCAAAAACTTCAACTCGCTCTTACCAAACTCGCATTTGGAAACGTTTATTGCCCGATTATTGTCCCGGAGGCGCTTGAAAACTTCGCGTAAATCTTGCTTGTGCTGCTCGACCGACGGCGAAGCGATACAAATATCATCGATATAGGGAAACGTATGATCTAGGCCCCGCAAAACTTCATTTATGAGCCTTTGAAATGTCTGCGCAGCGTTGCAGAGGCCGAAGGTCATAAACCTAAACTCGAACATCCCGAATGGCGTCGTGATGCCGTTTTAGCTATATCATCCTCGTGGATGGGTTCTTGGTGGAACGCACGTTGGAGGTCGATTTTTGAAAACACTGTCTTGCCTTGTAAATTCGCCGTGAAGTCGGTTAGATACGACAAGGGGTATCGGTCAGGCAACGTTTGCGCATTGAGTGCGCGGTAGTCCCCGCATGGCCTCCAGGTGCCATCGCTTTTCGTCACCATATGCAACGGGCTTGACCAGTTGCTGCTGGGCGGTCGGCATATGCCCGCCGTAAGTAAAAAGTTGAACTCGTTACGTGCAGCTGTCAGTTTCTCGGGCGCAAGACGTCGTGGTCTAGAAAACACTGGCTGGCCCGTTGTTAAAATGCGGTGGACGACCGTCGATTTTGTCAGGGAACCATGAGGCGCCAGCTTCGTGATCTCCGAAGACTCGGACAGCCGATCGGCGAACGGGTCGGTGGAGTCGAATGTTTTGATTTGGGTTGCCTTGCATAGCGTTGGCGCAGTCAAAGATGATCGAAGTTTCGTGAGGTTGTCGATGATTCGGTTACGACGCAAGTCGATAAGCAAATCGTAAAAGCGAATAAAGTCCGCGCCGGGGGTTGTGACATCGGCAACTATGAAGGACCACGAGAAATCCCGACGAAGGCCCAAGTCCAAGTTGATTCGTTTCTCTCCGACGACTTTGATGGCGGAACCATTGGCAGCGTAGTTTTGTTGCGGTTGGTCGCATGTCATAGGGCTTTGCAGTGATGGGTAGCACCGACACGTCGGCACCAGTGTCGACGAGAAATGTTTTGCCTGTATGTCGTTCGTGCACCTGCAGACGAAGTACTTTGCGCTCTGTGACGGGATCCTCGTTGCAATCCGCCACGCGCTTCAACAGTCATGATGGTTCGGACGATACCGCTCGAAGAGCACGTTTGCTCTGGCGGCAAGGACTGCGGCATTTCTTAGCATCTCGGCCGTATTTTAGATGATACCAACAGTCCCGGACTGAAGATGATTCTCGCGATGATGTAACCCCTTTAGAGCTGTCGCGAGCGTTTGAATTCTGTCGTATGTTTGTTCGCCTACGACTTTGGGAGCGTGAGCGAGTTGTGAGCTTGTCGAATTTTTTGCCAAGTTCCATAACAACAGCGCGTAATTCATGAATCTCGCTGGAGGGTGTTGACTTAACGCGATTGAGCTGCTGAGGTGCGATGGCGTCTATTATGGTGTAGGCTATCTTCGTGTACTCCGCGGCTGAGCCAGACGAAGCTGCTACTACTGGCTGCGCGAACTCTGGTAAACGCTTAATCCAGAGGCTTTTGAGAGCAGCATCACCAAGAGTATTGCCTGCGACGCGCCTCATCTCGAAGAAAAGCTCGGACGGCTTCTTGTCGCCAAGAGGTAGCTCCGAGAGTACCCGGTTGAGTCGCCGCTGTTCGCTATCGGCAAAATGCTCGATTATTTTTTGCTTAACGTAGTCGAAACTGTCGTTTTGTGGCAGCGCTGCAATGACGTCGCCCAGTTGACTTAGGACGTTTGGGTCGAGAGCTGCTAACACAGTTGCCGTTTTCTGCTTATCAGCCGTAATGCCCGAAGCGGTGAACCAAAATTCCATAGAGGTAAACCAGGCCTCTATGTTGGTGCTTGCCATCGGTGGTATTGGAAGTCTGGCATATACTACGGCAATGGAGTTAGGCGGTGCCATTGTTTCTTCAGGTTTAGGCGAAGGAGTTTGAGATGCTCCTGGTGGCAAAACGTTGTCCACCATGTTACTCTTACCTCAAAATGGCTGCTTGTGTGCACGTGCTTGCCGATCACGTCGGGGTCACGAGTTTAGGGTTTTGTATTGAGTTTACCTCACAAAGAACTCGTTCAAATA